CTGTGGGGATATGAAAAATCGATGGTCTAAGCGGACAATCTCGCTTCGATTCAGGCAAAACATCACTCTTGCCATGGGTCAGTTACCAGTCGGGATGCTCGAACGAGTCATCGAAAATTGGACTCAACGGATCGACCATCTGAGACAGTAGCGAACTTCGAAAGGGACAAATTTTTACACGTTTTTATTTTGTTATATTAAATAATGTTAATTTATTTAATTATTCACAAATAAATTAAATGCTTACAATGATTGCAACACAAAAACCAACTGCCAACGATATTATTAGATATCTCGATGTAAACATATTTTGGCAATTAATACAATTATCTACAAACTCCAAAAATTAAAAAAAAATTAAAATATTTTACGTGCTTTTACTGTATATTCGCTGTACCGTTTTACTTTCCACTTCCATTTGACTCGCGACTATTTCGAACAAAACAAACAGCATGGGCTTTTATAGTTAGGTCAACTATGTTGCTATTACTCACTGACATTTTTCTCATATACATATGTACATTTATATATTTATACATAAAATTTATGTGCATATAAGGTATCTGATTTAGAATATGTTTGTTTGAAGTTTTTATAAGCAAAAAGTGCCACGTAAAAATTAAAAAACAACAGCGACAAAAATACTTGTTGGACGCAAATGAGTTATACTAGTAACGAGCGTATAGTTTTATACTCAGACACATATGCACGTATGTACGTACATAGTTTTTGCGAGTACGTATGCGTCATTAACCTAGAATTTAATGATAGTGGCTTTGACAAACTCGCAGTCAGACATGAAGTCTACCTTATGTTTAATTATATCGATATGTACACAATCATGTATGTATAGTATGTGCATATGTGTTATGTACATATTTACACCAATTAAGCATCGAAAATCAATGTTTCGTAAAGTTTAGAACTTTTATCGAGATTTTTAGTTTTTTTTTTTTTTTTTAATCGAGAATGATTATAGTTTCTGCATAAATATCAAGAGATCTGTTGAACAGGCTCTCCAGTCTAACTATTGTTGAAATTCACCAAAAACGAAACGAAATTCATCAAAAACGAAACGAAATTCACCAAAAACTGTTCAAACCCCTAGGTACCGAATATGTGGACCACAGTGGCTATAGTTGAAAAACGAAACGAAATTCACCAAAAACTGTTCAAACCCCTAGGTACCGAATATGTGGACCACAGTGGCTATAGTTGTCTTTTGACCTGAAAATATCGTCAATTTCTGGCATACATTAGAATATATAATATTTATAATATATATACACATATATATGTATGACATTGGCTACCTTTACTTTATATGATTGGCGATTGTATGTGAGGTACTTAATGAAACCCAGGCAACATCGGTTTCATTTTGGTATRTGACATGTTAATAGTATGTGGTATTGGTTAAAAAAGATAAAATCGGAACCTCCCCAACATATGCTACTATATATAATAATTTCCGTTTTTCTAACAAATCTTATTTCGAATATGTTGGTTAGTAGACGAGTTGTATGCATATACAAGTATGTATATAAAATTGCTTGGATTCCGATTTCCCTGGCTTTGATTCGTGCAAGTTGTAAGAATCGCTTTGGTTGCACCGGAACTTTGCGCTTCCTTACTAGTTTTTTTAGTTCTAATATATTTTTCATTTATATAGTTAGAGTACTATTTCTATGATAACGAAAGAAAAGAATTTATAGTAGTTTGAAACGCATCGAAAACGAATGATAAAACAACTAATATTAAAAAAATAATTTATGGGTCATCTAAGATCGGGATAACGAAGGAGAGGCGTGGTTCAATTTTAAGGTTTCAAAAAGTTGATATCGATTTCCGGCAATACTAGAAGTTGTATAGAAAAAAACTATATGACGTTGCTATAGATAATGAAAACATTCAATTTAGAAGTCTAAAAGTAGTACTATGATTATTAAAAACACTTTTTTATTGGTTATACAATTATGTAATCAATAGTTGCATATAACTGTTTTATTAACACAAGATGTATGTAACTCCAACGTCTGAATTCTAATAGAGTAAATAATGTTTTAATATTGTTATGCTGGTATAACCATCATGAGATATTTGAAAATCTATAAAATTACAAAAAACAAAAAAAACAAAAAAATAGATATGTACATATATACATATGTACAAACTATACATGAATGTATGTATAATAATTGCCGAAGGTAAATGTAATAATAAAGTCTCTTTATAATATGTGGTCATGAGTCATTAACATCTAGCTTTAAATGAGTTTGCGATGATCTAATCAAAATTTAATTTTTAATTGTGGGAATATTTCACAAAATTTCATTATACTTGTAAGATCTGCAAATTCTCTTGGTTGTAATTTGTTTAAAGTGGTTTATGGAAATTATTGAGGCTTGRCAATATGCGAATGCTATTTACTCATCCTCGTCAACAAAGAAGCTACTTAGAAAATATTGAATACGAATTCGTTAAAAACATATGAATATGTACCTAGCTAGTATATTGTATTTCATATTTATGGTATTAAAATCATTATACTTTCTAAAATATCGGTGTTAGGGCAATTCATGAAAATACAAATGAATTTTTTTTGCTTGGATTTTAAAAACTTAAYAGATAACATAACTTAACGTTGAAAAAATAATTTCTAAACCAAGAAAGAATCTTCGCAGAATTAAATAATTATGTATGCGCGAACAGACACATCCAAAATATTAATTAAATTGTTGAACTTTTTTTTTTGGAAAAAAATCTTCAGACATACCTTTCAGTCCAGATCCAATTTGATCTTGAGTGTACATATATCGCAATATAAAGAAGAAATCTCAAAAATAAAATGACGGATTGTAATTTAAACAACTAAATGAATCTAGTGACATGTCCTTGGGAGAATACAGGCTTGAAATATGCGCACCATTTTGATTATAAATTCTCTGAGAATTTYGGAGAAAACCAGGAATATGTGTCCTCCACCAGAAATAAAATACCTATGTATATGTGACCTGGTCTACGAAAAGTGAGCTAACGTGCGAAAACTAGTTTTCTGGGAAACAGCTGTTAAAAATCTCATCTTCCATCCGAATCAACTAAAAAGTGAAAATTGATTTTTTGGATTTTTGACACCTAAGCCCCCTTTCCGTGGACCACTTCACATATATGTATTTACTTTAACTCATCAATCGAACAATAAATAATATTGATTCAATCTATTCTGTATGAAAAATTCTAGTACCTTTTGCTTGAATATTTTTTTTTGCACAGAAAAAATATATGTATAAAATATAATAGTATAAACGTGTATATATGTATTTATTGTAGCCACACTACATGTGTGTTTACACACATACACATGTATTTATGTATGCAATATTTGTGGAAAAATCACAGAATCAATGAACGATTCCATTTGAAGTGTTTATTCTCTCCAGCTGATTGATGATGTTTTTAATTTTCTCTTCTATCCTTTGCTTTTCATTTCAACAAATTGAAGAGTGTAAAGAAAGCGAAGAAATTAAGTTGGAAAAATAATTGAATTGCAGGTTGTATTGAGTGGCAAGAACACACTTGCGCTGGAAAAACTTATGCAGAGGTAAAAATAAGCTTGTATGTGCATGCACTATGTATTGTGTATATGTATTAAGGTGTTCGTTATTTCTCAAGTTGGTTTGTTTTTTGCAAACGCTCGCTGGAGTTTCTGATTTCTTGSCTTAAAAAAATCGCATGTAAAAAAGCTATAAATTTTCAGTTTAACTGTGAATAAAGCATTTTACTTCTTCCACAKAATTTAGAAGCGATTTGTTGATCCTTTGCAATACAGTTTTTTATCTCTATTGCAAATTAATCTACAAAAAAAAAATATTTTTCTCTTCAAAAAATATATACTATTTTTTTTTTAATAAAAATGCTACTTTCAAAGTTAAAATTACGAACATTCACTGAACATTCAGGTCGTATAAGTTCTGCGTTGCTCRTACGACATACGACACATGTATGCTCAGTTATTGAATACTGAGTCTGAGTGCATTTAATACGAGGTGTGTTCAAAAAGTATYGCGAATTTTGAATTTTCGCGGGTTACTTATATTCCAATTTCGAATTTTCGTGGCGTTATGTTGGTACTCATGTCTCTCACTTATGCCGACAAGTTCGGCCATTTTGAATGTTCATTTAATTGTTGACAGCTGCTTTGCTTGCACGTGTTTTGGATCGTCTTCGATTTTTACCTATTCAAAAAAATGGCTCAAAGAACATGTATCAAATTTTGTGTGAAAAACGAAATTAAATGCGCGGATGCATTCCGAATGTTGACTATGGCATACGGAGAAGCTACCTTGGACCGAAGCAACGTTTATCGGCGGTACAAAATGTTCTCAGAAGGCCGAGAAGATGTGACAAAAATTGGCTTTTGCACCACGATAACGCCCCTGCTCACACATCGTTGCTTGTGCGCGACTTTTTGGCCAAAAACAACACACTAATGATGCCGAAACCACCGTATTTCCCAGATCTGGCCTCCTGTGACTTTTTCTTGTTCCCTAAACTGAAGAGGCCCATGAAAGGACGACGTTACTCTTGACGAGATAAAGACGGCATCGAAGGAGGAGCTGAAGAAGAAAAAAAAAAAAATATTTTTTGAAGTGCTTCGAACATTGGAAAAACCGTTGGCACAAGTGTATAATATCTCATGGGGATTACTTTGAAGGAAACAAAATAGATATTCATGAATAAATAAATAATTTTTGAAAAAAACACAAAATTYGCGATACTTTTTGAACACACCTCGTATATAACTTTAATTGAGTGTGACTTTTAAAGAAGTAAATGCATGGAAAAAATCACTACATCCTTTTTTGTATTAGACTATATTAGTGCGCAACTAAGTTCCCTCTGTTTGTCAATAGATAAATCCAGCAGCTAATCATGATCGATTTTGCTTTATCCACAGCGTGATAGCCTAGCCATTTGAAAAAGRAAATGTATTTCCAATTAGTGACTATGTTGACATATAAAATACTTTCCGTAGTGTGAACATGATCAATTGTTTGCCAAATAAACGTCATTTGCTTTCGGTCAAAGAAATTGGCGACTTATACACATTCGGTATTTCAAAAAGTTTACGAAGGTGTTATTAATCTATTTCGRTACCGTTGCGTGAAGGAAGGACAAAAACCTTCGACGACGGTGAATTGCAACTTTGCTCGATGAAAATCCGTGTCAAACGCAAGAAGAGTTTACTTCAGCATTGGAAATCAGCTATTTCAAAGAGACTATATGCGCTGGGTATGATTCAGAATCAAGTAGCTTGGGTCCCCTATGACCTCAATACCAGGAGAGGCACGAAAAAGTTATTCTGCGGAATGACAAACCCGTTAAAACCTACTTTGAAAWCACT